TCTCAGAATTTTTATTGTTTCCCCAAAACTTAGTTTTTGGGGAAACAAAAATCACACAGGGGATAAAAAAGATGTAATTTCAATAGTTCAATCTAATAAAGATATGAAATTCAGAAAAACCGGTGATGTACAGGGCTAGTTTTATTAATGTGAACCCCCCCTCTATCTTTTTTGTTTTCTACCCATATAAAAAATTTCAAAACTGATTTTATACAATTTTCCGGACAGATTTTACTCATTTTGACAATGATGCAATATCAATTCAAATATACATGGTATACAGAAATAAATATATTTTTCAAAGGAAACGCCCTGTATATTTCGATGAAATTGAATTCCCTAAATCGTCCTGATTTAAAACATATATATAGAAGGATCTTCATCTATCAAAATATACAGCGCATTCCATATAAAAAACTAATATATTTCTGTATACCCTGTATATTTGAAGAGATATTGCAACACTCTCTCAATATGATTGGAACCAATTTGGAATATCGTGAAAAAAATCAGTTCTGAATCTTCCTGAATAGATAGAAAACAAAGAAGATGAAGGGGGGTTTACATTAATAAAACTAGCCCTGTACAATAACATTCACCATAGATATCGATAAATTTACCCACTGTGACGCCACTGGAAATATTATTTCGAATCTATTTGCACTAGAAGAAGCTCCATATTACTATCAACAAAACCACAACTTTTCATTGAAATTGATGAAAAGACAATTGAGAAATGAATAGAAAAAAGATTTTTCATGGAAATAATAATACCCTGTATCTCGAAAACGAAGCAAGTTAGGACACATTTTTATTTATACTTTATTTCCTAAAATATCACAAGAAATCATCACCCCTTGATTGATTTTTCCGGTGTTATTTAGATGCACCCTGTATAAGAGAAATTAGCAACATACGAGAGAATCTGTTATGAAATTATCTCGAAGAACTGTAGTTCAGAAACTAATCCGCTATAGACTTCTTGAAGCTGGTGTTCGAAAAATTCGAAATATTCGAGAAATTCGATCTTGAGATTTCGGTTCTGCGAATAGAAATTCTAAGGAAACTATCATAATATTTCTCTGAAAAATCTAATTTCTATTTTTTCCATTTATAAAAAGATTCACAGCGTTCAAATCATCCTAGAGGAAAGATAACATTGCTATATACATTTCCAAAAAGTTTGCGTCTCCTCTCCCCTTCTAGATAACGTCTTCTTAACTCGGTCACTTCTTTGAATTACGAGCTATCAACATTTTCACGATGAATGCAAATAAAGACTAATTGTTTTGTTATATCTCGGGCTCGCATTTCCGGAGCATTCGGCATAATAGGCTCCCAGGGAATGGAAATTTATATTCATGATGCCTCTTACTCTTTCCTTCACTTGAATTCGACTTTGGGGATTATCATTTTCCTTATGACGATTCGTTAATCGAGAAGAACTCGATTTGACGAGGATTAATAATATGAAGAATGATAGGTACACAGAAAAAATCATAATGGAATTCACAGCATTGAAGATAGCAAAAAAAAATCATATACTAGGGAGAATTACTCTCAACGAGCCATTTCATTTGATACCCATATTGTAGAAGTAGATTGAAAATGACCATTCCGCCATCTTGGATGGTCCGCCATATTCGATTTAGAATGACGTCACATCATTTTTCGAGTTACTCTTAACGAGCCTTTTCAATTGATAATCATATTGTAAAAGTATATCAAAAATAGCTATTCCGCCATATTGGATTTAGAATAACGTCACATTATTTTTCGAATTACCCTCAACGAGCCCTTTCATTTAATACCCATATTGTAGAAGGAGATTAAAAATGACCATTCCGCCATCTTGGATGGTCCGCCATATTCGATTCAGAATGACGTCACATCATTTTTCGAGTTACTCTCAACGAGCCTTTTCATTTGAAACCCATATTGTAAAAGTATATCGAAAATAGCTATTTAGCCATCTTGGATAGTCCGCCATATTGGATTTAGAATAACACACCTTATCGTGCATTGTCATCCAAACTGAACGTGTATACAAAATTTCAACTCAATCGGTTGAAGATTTTTACTTCAAAATTGACTTCAAAAAGATTCCACCCGAACATACATACATACTGTTGAAAAGGAATATTCTCAGATAAATTATGGACATACAAAAATGGATATATATTTATATGAAGCAATACATTGAGAATTCGCATTCTCTATGTGATGAGAATATCTACTCTTTTTCAGTTTATTCAATAGAAAACGAGTACTTTCCTGGCTTGATATAGATAGAGTCTCAATTCAGAATTTCTTTCCACGCCCTGTATGATGAATGTCAATTTATCATACACCCAAAAGCAATACATACATCCATACAAACATACAATGCAAGTTAAATGAAAGCTTTCAATAAAAATGAACCAAAAAGGAGTAAAATAATACGAACCGCACAGACAAAACTATTGAAAGGGACAAAAATTCTATATTACAAAAAAATATCTCGATATCGGTGAGACTTTCATAATGGGAATTTTGTCATAGCAGGTGAGTAATCGTTTGATCTACATTCTTCCTAGGTTTGACGTGGTATTTACGGGACACCCTGTATACAAAAGTTGTAATGTTTGTTCGGAACCTCCAGAAAATTGGACGTGATATGAAACAAATGGATATAGCTGATATAAGTAATGGGTTAAAAACTTCGTTTTTTTTCATCAGAACACCCTATATATTTCCCGAAAAAATTGAAGATCTTCCGTTTCTGAGTTCAAAAATGTATAGGTTGTTTAAATTTTGTTTTTCTGTTTGCAAAATGTTCGAGATTGAACAGTTTTTAATTACAACTTCGTTTCACCAAATCCAAAACACATAATTATGTAAGATGCCATTAATCAAACTTTCTGTCATATTTTCTTTGCGTATGTGTTGATGATTTGTCATAGCAAAAAAAAATTTTTTTGCTGTTGACATGTATTACTGAGGTACTTTGAATACATCAATTATGGTGCTTGATATTGGCCTGTTGCCGAAACTAGTTACACTAGTTTTATTGTTTTTTCTTATAAAAATCAATTAGACCACTTTGAGAAATATGAATGGTTTCCATGATTTGATTCTATTTCAACTTATGATCCACTTCGAAACGACGAAATAATTTGAAACTCAGAGCGCATATCGAGGACCGATAATAATAACTTAATTTATCTCTTTTGGTCCATTATCCCGATCAAAATCTTCAGAATAACTAATTTTTCTCGAATGAAATGGTCAATGATGTTCCTCCACCAAAAATACAAATGTTCCGCCACCATAAATTCAAATGTTCGTTTTTATTCCTCCTTTCCATCCAACATCAAATCTAGTAATAATAATTATGTATTCAAAATATTATTGAAACAGTTTCTATCAGAAAAATGTTATTATTTGGTATTTGATTATCTCAATGAAAAGATCTGATTTTCATGTAACTCGAACCGCACCTGCATTCTTTTACTATATTTTACTTAAAAATATATAAGAAGGAAATTCAAAACTCTTCTAACGAATGTTTTTATTGCTTTTTATCAATTGTATACCTATATCGCATACCTCTATTGTATACCTCTATTGTATGTTCGTTTTAGTGTTTTATAGTATAGGTCATATACCGGGTGACACAGGAGACATGTAGCAGCCTGTAGTTTTTTTATTTGAAGAGATTAAATTCTGAAATCCACAACGGGTAAATAATAAATGGTAGTGCAAGTGACCCCAACTTTTTTTTTAAATGTCATTCTGTACATTTCTTCAGTCAATCTTTTTCGCCTTTAAATTGTCTATTCAACCATGTATCACAAAGTGGCATTTATTTCTTAATTCGCTGTTGAATTGCTTTTTATTCAAAAAGAATGAGTTGGCTGTGATATGAATTCGATGATATATCGACACTTGGTAGGCTTTGAAATTTAGAGATCATTAGTAAACCGATATTATTCAAAAGGTTTTGATATTCCGATCAATGTCTGCAGGTTGTCAATAGCTTGTTTGAGTCAAGATGAAAACCTTCGAAAATAACTCATGATATTGAGGAATCTAAGATAGGAACATATTTTTTCGAATTCAGCTACTCCGACAGAAACTATCTGTCTTCCATGTTCGCCATGTACCTACCTATCACATGATCTTCCCATTTGGAATAATGAAACTGAAATTGTTCCTCTTATACGATGATCCACAGGGCTATCAGTCTATTTTTTCATAATTATTTCACTTAGTAGGCGGTGTACCTACACAACATGTTTTATATGTTCGACAGTTAATCGATTGCATTAATAATTTTTCTTCTTCATTTGTGTGTTGATTAAAATTGCATATTATCAATAGAGACGGAAAATGTATTCAAGAAACAAGAAAGTCGATATGTTCTTAGGTGTGAGGGGGTTCGGAACAATCGATTTCAGGATGCTTTACCAATTCCGTTTATTATAATAACTGAAGTTTGCACAGGTTTGGTATTGAAGGTTACACTCTAAAATGAAAATATACATGAAGTACAGATTTTCAGGTGAATTGGTGGCACATACATCTCAGGCCGACATACGACATACCATATTGACATAATGAATATACATACCTAAAACCAGGGACACTTTGCTCTTTGAAATTCAAAGATTGGAGATTCCCCACGAGGCTTTCAGAATCAGTAACCTTATTGATACCACTCAGATCAAAGAATCTACTAGCCACCTGTAGGTGTTTTTGCGGTATTCAATACAAAAAAGATGTTAAATTATTTATGGGAATTAGGCAAATTATGGTATCTAGGCTGACACCTATTAGCCACTAGTGAGAATAGAGAGGACTGATAATACAGAAAACGATCAGTATCAAGTACTTAATAAAATGTAGCGTGCTGTATGGTTCTGGTACAGGTGACACGAATCCAAGTATCTTATCCTTACTCTCTACAAACATCGTCAGTCATCTGAGAAGATTTGGAAGGTTTATAATAAAACAGTCGGTTATTTACTCATAAAATATAATATAGTCTGATTTCAGTACATAGTCAACAATTCAGTTTCATTATATACTTTTTCGCATCAAAAAGTGTAAGTACCTAACTATAAGTGATACTCGAGGTGATATTCTTTCACATCATGGTGATGATTCATTATAAAACGTTGTGATAACAATTCATATAAACTGGAATTCTGTTTCGCAAAATTCAAAAAGAAATCACATATAAACCAGTATGTTCATTGGATATAAACATCTCCAATATCTTCTTTTTTATAAAATATCAGTAGAAAAGTGTTCTTCTTTTCAAACTTCTCCACAATATGTGCAGGTTAAACTGTGTCATATAAAAATATAAATTTATCAAATTGGCCTCATATCGTTCACTTCACTAATGTGGTGGTGGTGGAAACGGAGCATTTTCTTCATAGATCATCACGAGAGAACTAAAAGATTTCCTCTTTTTCTTTGGCTGAAATATCAAGAAAATCAGTCATCTCAAATTCACTGTTTTGTATATAAATATTCAGCTAGGTTCAACAGTTGAAACACAATAAACATTCATCTTCAAACCAAAAAAGTCTATGACTAATAATTCAATGATATAAAAAAATATAGATATTCGGAGATATGATAATTCTGTTTGATATTGGTTCATTCATTTTTTCTCACTATCAAACTGGCTGAGAAACAAATAGGTAAGCATAGAACGTGGGCAACATATTCATGATATATACCTTAACGAAACATACAAATTCATCACAGCTACTACTGCTTGAGGTGATACCTTCTTCTAGGGACAATGTCTTGGACATACCTTCCAACTCCAAATCGATGTAGAGTTGTTGCAACTGATCATTCACCAACATTGGCTGAAAGAAAAAAAGTTCTAATGAGTCACATTATTTCAAGTTCTAAGATAGTCACACTACTCATATTAAACTTCATCAATATTTGTTTTGAAATTTTCTCAAATCAGATTTGAAGTATTTTACAATGGTAACAGTGTTGGGCAAATTGTTAGATGTGACAACAAGTTGATCTAGTAGTGTAGCAATGTTCGTCTGAGATCAAAATGGTCACCATTGACGCATGCGTCGAAACGTCATGCATATACGAGCCTGAATAGCGTAGAAAAATATTGCGTACTTCATAAGCGTTGGATACTTGATAAAAATAGTAGCTATTTTCATCGACCTTAAGAAGGCATTTGATACAGTTGACCATAAGAATCTCTTGGAATACTTGGAATCGATGGGACTCAGAGGCATTGTTAAAAATCTTTTAGAATCTTATCTTGCGAATAGGACAATCAGCACTAAATGTAAAATGTCAGAGTCTAATAAATTTCCAATGAGTGAAGGTGTACCACAGGGATCTGTTTTAGGGCCCATCTTGTTATTATATATTCAGAATATTTCTTTAATTGGATTGTCAGGTAATTATACTATTTTCGCAGATGATACTGTACTTCTATACGAAAACAAAAACCCCATTATTCTAGAAAATATTATTAACGAAGATTTGAAAAAATTTGAAAAATGACTTTATTCAAACATTTTATCAATTAACACCAATAAAACTGAATATATAATATTCCATCAAAAAAATAAACAGAATATTAGTCTGAATCTCCAGATTAAAAATAATATATCGAAAAGAACTACCAAATAAAGTATCTTGGTTTGTGGATTGATGGAAAATTGAAATGGGACAAGCATATAGAGGTTCTGATATAAAAAATATCTCCAATCATTGGAGCTTTGCGGAGATGTCCTAAATTTGACAAAAAAGTCATAAACATAGTACTTCATCCTCATATACTCAGTCGTATTACCTATATGATAAACGTTTGAGGATCTTTGCACTTTATGAGAAAGCACTGAAAGTATTGTATCGCCTCTCATTTGATATCCCAACAAATGATCTGTATGCGATAACAGAAATATTTTCATTGGATGGATTATATAAAATAGATTCTCTCAAAGTTTCATATAACAATACTCTGAAATCCAATTTTGTTTTGGTAAGAAACTCAGAAATTCATGGTCATCACACGAGACAATTGAACTCATTTCATCTTGATTCTGCTACTTCTATAATTGGCCAAAAAAAATTCACTCACGCTGCTCTAGCTGAATTTAATAAATTACCACATGATTTAAAAAATTGCAGACATATTTCAAAATTCAAAATTGAATTGAAAAAACACATGATTTCATTACGAAATGGATAAAATTTATACTTTGCCATCTACTGATTAGTCCCTGTGGCTATTTTGATGACTTGATCGATTTAGCATTTTTAGATTTTTTAGATTTTTATTGTTGTTGTTGTCACCTTATATTATTTCATTATTGTTGTTTGTAATCAACTTCCTCATACCAGAATCTTATTTCTGACTAGAAGCTAGTTTTTTAATGAACAATAAGATCATAAGTGACACCTTTTGATGTTGCTATTGTTTATTTTCTTACAATTGTTCATCTTAAGATTTGAGGTTATCCCTAAGTAACAAGCTATCTCAATGAGAATAACTTCTTTGGACCATGAAGCATATTTCTTCTTCTTCTTCTTCTTCAGGCAAATTTCGCGAGGTGGGGCATTTAGCGAAGCCAAGTGAAAGCAGAATTTGCGAGTCAGACAAAATCACTTTTGATCCGAATGAAACATGCTATGTTTTTTTCAACCGAAAGAATTCACTGAAATGAATATAAGTGAACTAACCACCAATGTGACTCACTTGAATATATACAGTGTGGTCCTTTAATTGTGCAACATATTGAAATCTTCGCTTCGGCTTCGCTAGACGCTCCGCCTCGCAAATGCAAAATTCGCTTGTCAAACAAAGTGTCACTTTTGGTCCTGATAAAATAATCTACTATTATTCCTGACGACCTAGTGCATCGTGCATCCTCTTTAATTCCTAGGAGCTAAAATTCAACATTGTCGCATAGGAACATACCAATGTTTGTGAAAGAGAGAACCAGTTTCACCTGCCATTATACAAGGCCAAGGACGATCATCTTGGATCCAAACGCACATAGCAACACTACTAATCAAATAAATAATGATGAGCTAATTTATAAGATTCGATAGTGCAAGGTGAGTTTTTGATACCACATTGAAATGAAATTGATTGTTTCGAATGAGTTGCACACCTGATTGGTTTCTTTGAGCCTCTTCAGGTCTGCCTGAAGGATGTCTTCCAGGTCTTGGACGGTCATTTGGTACCTGTATATCAGATCAGGGGTTGCTTGGACGGATTCTAGCCATGGTGGGTCCTTCTTTCGAATCGGGTAGTTCCTTCGACCTTTCCAAGTGTTCTGAGAATAAAACAACAAAATTCAAGAGATGATTTCTTGTGATATAATAATAATGAAATAAAGTTCATATAAACATTTGTCCTAATTCGCTCCGTTTTTGAGATACAGGATGTTCCCTAACAACACGGGATCTTGCTGGTACATCCCGCTAAGGTCCTACAAATAATGTCCCAATATTTCAGACTTAGGTACGATATCCCAGAGATGTTTCTCTTGAGACATCCATCAGATATTTCCATTGGATGTTCTAGAAACACCCCATTTGATCTTTTTTTCATAAACAATATCATGGTTCCATATTTGCTAATCATGATTGACATGATTGAACAGTTCAAACAATTGTGACATTTGAAACATTGAAAAGTTGGTTAAAAATGGAAATCAAAACCGTATTCGTACTCATATACCCATACCTATACCAATGCCGGCTAATTTCATCGATAACAAACTGAAATAATCATACTAAATATTCCTCAATAGGATTACCAAAGTATACCTGCTTAACTTCATGAACCATGTAATAAACGACAAAATCAAAATATATCTCTTCAGCATATTTATTGCTGAATTTATTTGTTATACCAGCCGATAGACGGCGGTACAACTACGTTGCTAAGAGTTACTAACAGCCGTCGGCCCAGCGCCAACAAAAAATATGAGCCTCAAACAACTGTTATCATCTTCCATTAGTTATTGGACCGCACCGACCTTATATTTTCGGATTCGGATTGTTACTTGATATCTGGAAATAGGTCGGCCATTTTCAGGATTTCAGATTGAAAATAATTCATACCGTGTCATCCATTACTGTCATCAAACAAAAAACATCCTATACAAAAGTTTCTTCAAGATGTTCCATATCAAGTACCCTGAATGTCTCTGGTACATCCCGTATGATCCCACTAACATTCTGATGGGATGTTTATAAGACATCGCAAATGCTGACACGGGTGTTGCCAGCAACATCCCAAGAATGTCCCAAGGAAAATAGGGATTTTCCAGAGATGTTCCAATCATCCCATATGGATGTTTCTACGACGTCTTACAGATGTTATTGTCTTATTAGGGGACAGAGTGCATTAGCGCGAGATCATAGTTGAAAGAGTTAATATATCAGTTGCCTCAGTCTCCGTCGGGCGTTCGGTATTTTCTTTTAACTATCGCGAGATGAGGTTTCTACGTCATAACAGGGTCCGTTTTCAGAAGGTACTATTATTTATATCCAAAAATGAAACATTATAAACATGGTTTGAGTTAAAAGTTCTACTAAGGTGTACACGCCCATTATCAAAACAACTGCAGAGAGTTGTGTCACTATATGCGGCTAAATGACAAAATGTATTGATTCAAAGAGGAAAAATTGGAATGTTATTTGGAAATTGAATATTAATCTTGATTCGATGAACCAAACCAAAAAGCGTTTGATAATACCTATAATTGAACTCACTTCTTCACTCTTGTTGGTTCTGGTATCCATCATGTTGGTATCGTCATTGGAACCGGAACCTGCATCAGTTTTCAGGAATGAAGAATAAGAAAAAGAACAACAGCTACTTGACTCGTCGATGTTATTATTGTTGTTGCAGCTCATGAAATTCATTTCATTCCCAGATACAGCGGGTTCAGTTGTTATCTGAAAACCACCAGGAATTCATAAGACAATTGTATTGTATTGCATAAAGATGAATAAAATCACGAAATTCTACATCAACATGGATATTGTAGTCTTGAAATAAGTAAAGATCAAGATATATGTAAGGTAGGTGAATAAAATATGCCCACCCTAAGCTTTTTTTTTTTGTTATCAATATGTTGAATGAAGAATTATGCCAATAATTTCATGATAAATAAATTCAACATGTTCAGAATAAAAAAAAAATAGTTGCCTTGAAAAATTTGTTTAAAATATTTTTTATTCAATTTGAAAAAAAAAGTGTGAACGACGATATTGTCAACACTACATAAGAATCAAATGAAAATTCACAAAATGGACAAATGAAAATGTCCTTAATTTCCTTGGTTGAATCCACAAAATCCTCATGAATATATTTTCACAGTGCAAACAGCACAGTGTATTCATTTTTATATATTCAGGGTGTTTCATGAGGAGACTAGCATAACCAAATGGTGAATAGAGGAAACCAAAACGAGTTGATGTATATTTATGAAAAATATATTTGGCCATTCTTAACGAAGATACAGGGTATTATCTGTAATTGCCTCATAAGTTTGATTCGAACTTCATTCGAATATATCACAATCATTTTGGAAATTATCAACAAAAAACGAAAATAAGAATTCAACTTGGACACTCTGTATCTCAGAAACAAGTAACTTTCGGACATATATTAATATGAACTTTTCTCTTAATTTTGACGTCAGCAACATGCTCCTGAATTTTCTACACGTACTCAAGAAACACCCTGTATATTCTCTATGGCAACAGAAGCGGCACACACGAATGACACGACACGACACAGAAAAAATAACCTTATAAACGGTGAACAACTCCAATTCGCCGCCATGTGAACTCACAAGGGGCGAATCCGGCGAACAGACAGACTGCAGCCCCAGATCTTTGCGTGAACTTTCCGATAAAGCCTAAAACATCATCTCACATTTCTTCGTGCTCTAAACGGCTCAGATCTGGAGATCTGTGCAGCCGTATGTCGACCCAAGGAACGGTGGCGACTTTTATAATGTACACCATCATCGGGAATCCTCACAGATCGTTTTTTCAATCGGTACATATAGGGCATATAAATGGCATCATAGCTAGAGAGATTGATTCGGTTGGCTATCGTGAGTCTTCGCCAGTGTTGCCAGGCCAAGAATGAGATGGGCGGTAAACATAAAGAGGGGTAGGTTTGAAACTTTAACGGTAGATCAGGTTGAAAAATTGTAGCTATTGCCAACTCCTAGTGGTTTACTAGTGGAGTAATTAGGTAGGTGATTAACAGAAGTAAAAAAGCCCCACTAAATATTGTTATTTACAACGATTTGCAGCAATTGAAGTTTTTCTTCGCGAGTTGAATAAGAATCCACTGTAAATTTGATTATTTGCAACATGATCATTTTTCGAAAGTTTAAAAAAATGAGCTTATTGTAACTCGAAAAAATGAACTTACCACCACCTCGATATGAGAGTTGGTGTCAAACTTTCATTATGTAATTTTACTAGTGAACGTTTATAGTAAGGTGATGTTTCCTAGATTTTACCAAAAGTAACAATTTACAAACTTATCATAAGTTTCCATCATCAATATCATACCCTAAATGTATCACTCTTTGTTATGTTCTGGTTCTCACGAAAAAGGATATTTTGTAATGTTCAGAGAACATCGTGAGAACCAAGGAAAATAAGGTTGGAATTTGTGTTCTTCTCGAATTTCTGGAGGTTATATGCCTCGTGGAACACCTTCCTTGGCAATGTGTTTCAGAGCCTCGCTGTTCGTTGGATGAACGAGTCTTTGGAAAGAGATGTTCTGCACTGGTAAGGGGTGCGAAGCCTCAACTCGACGGCTTATTCTCGCGGGGACTTCCAAGGGAGAAACAATTGTTGATATTTCAGAAGAGCATCGCCCATGAAAATATCTATAAAATACAGCCAGATCGCCAACTTTTCTACGGTGTTCCAGAGAAGTGAGTGAGTTTGTGAGCGGGGCATCACCCACGAGACGAATGTCCCTTCTTTGGATAGAAACCAACAGTTTCAGGGTATGTTTGGGTGCTGCACTCCAAATATGGGAACAGTATTCCAGGACAGACCGGATCTGTGCCTTATAGATCATGGGCAGCTGACTGGGCGTGAAATAGCTCCTGGCCCGAAACATAAAACCAAGTTTTTGGGATGCACTTCTAGCAATTGATCTCACGGGATTTTTTTCCAAGAAAGGTTATTGCTGATAGTAATACCATGCATCGAAATGGATGTATTCAGAGGTATGGTTACTCCTGACAAGCTTATGTTGGGCACAGTGAGATCGGCTTTTCTAGAGAAAAGGCATGCTTGTGTTTTGTTTGCATTGATTTCTACCAAGTTATTGGATCCTCACTCAAGAATTGTTGCCAAGTCGTATTTATGTTGTCAACATTTCTCCCTCGTTCATTTCTGATTTGCCTGGCTGGTATTGGAGCCCTGGAAGAGAAGGCGGTATGGAGGGTACTATCATCCGCGAAGCTGTGTACTGGACATGAAGCTGCTTCCAACAAATCGTTGATATGGAGTAGAAATAGTGTTGGTGCTAGAATTGATCCTTGCGGAACACCAGCATTAATGATAAGAAAGTCAGATGAAACTCCGGAGACTACTACATAAAGAGACCTATTTGAGAGAAAACTAGCTAGCAGAGAACATAGCTGGGGAGGCAAGCCATAAGATGGAAGCTTGGCGAGGAGTCCGTGGTGCCAGACTCGATCGAATGCCTTGGAGATATCAAGTGCAACGGCTAAGGTTTCACCATATTCTTCAATAGATTGCTGCCATATATGTGAGACGTAAGCGAGCAGGTCACCAGTTGATCTCTGATGACGGAAGCCATATTGCCTATCATTGATAATACCTGAATATTCCATATTTCATGAGCTCTATGATAGCTATCTCCATGATCTTTGAAATAATAGATAGCAGTGCGATCGGTCTGTAGTTGCTAGGTAGGGTCTTTTTGCCTTTTTTAGGAACTGGTTGTACTCTTGTGTCTTGAGTAGTTGACGTGACGTGATACAATTCGGTTGCATGCGCAAGCGCGATCATCTCTTTTCTTTCACTTGATTATCAGAGATTGTCTTTCCTCGTTTCTACAGAATATCATTTCAATATATGTGTAGTAGGACACATCAGATGATTTGCCCCGCAATGTCACTGCGTTCAACAAATTTTTCAATCAGGGAGCCTAAAAGAAAAATCTAATAGCTTGTCTGTGACACTTTGTTTGTAAAAAAGTTTGAAGAGAAGAAATATAGATATATTGGAAAAATAGCGAATTTCCACTTAAATTATTCACAGGATTTCATCAATTGATCTTGAATCTACCATTTTCGTGTTCAGTTTCAAATATATTGAAATAATACTCATGTTTTCATTTCGTTGAAAATCCCAAATAATCAATTAAAATGAATGTAACACCTCCTCGATTAACCTAATATGTAATCCGCAGTCGGCGATGAAACTCTCAGTGTGGTTACTACAATACAATAGAGATGATACCATGGATAGCGAAGCAAAGTCTGTCAGTTTGGCATAAAATAATTCTGGTTTTACTTGTCAGAATGAATCACTCATTTATAATGAACGCTTTTTATGCTTCGTGAACGTGAAATAGTCTAACCAAATACCACTCTGTTCTGAATTTCTTCTCGGAATTCTGTCTCTAATTGTAAACACAATCTCGTCAACAACGAATCGATAGAATCAACTCGAATATTCAGAACATGGTGATATTACTTATGATAATTAAATCAAATAAGAACGGTGTAGATCTAGCGAAACGGTATAGACCTGTCAACACTGGCCACTCCAGTGAAACAACTGCTAATCTCCGTAACTGGCCATATTGCCAAATGTCCATAATACTCCTTTATATAATGATTCGATAAACAATATGTTTACCTGTCGGTTAATCATTTATGTGAATCTATCAATTATAACAACTCTGAATATATTCTAATTCGCAAGATTCCAATGGCGTACAATATAAAAGTGACCCTCCCTCCTTATATTACATCCGAAAATTATATACATATACTGTGTGAAAACGAATTGATTTACCTTATTGGTAATGGAACCCAAAGCACTTCCTGGTTCTGCTCTAACTGAAGTAGCTTGAGAGACCGACCTCTGCAATTGTGTAGAATTGCGGGGTGCAAAGGGGGCGTTATGTATATCTGGTTTGTTATCGGTAGTCTGACCGTGAGAACCGACTTGATAACTAACCTATAAAATCATAGACAGTTCAGTTTCAACAGAAAACCATCAATATTCAAATCTTCTCAGGAATCATTCATATGTAGTGGAGAAGAAAGAGGTATAATTCCAGTTAGCGAAACATCAATTTAATTAGTATGTGTTTGAATCAGAATCAGAATATTCTTTATTGTCAGAAGAAAAAGCTCTTGTAGACAAAGAGAATATAAAACATAAGTGCGTAACATACAATAATAGAAATTTAAAACAATGTGAAAGATAAAATATGGCATGAGAAGGATCATCATGAGGTATAACGATTTACATTTCTAAGATGAATACTAAAATACATCACTATAATATTCCTTTAATTCATAGTAAGCAAATAGCTGTTCGAGACTCTTCCTGAATATTTTATGATCTTTAATGTCCTTTACGTAGGTAGGTAGGTGGTTATACATCTTCAGTTCATTATATATAACCGAGTCTTTGATCAGGGTAGTCGATGGTAAAGGTAATTTCAGATGATTTTGTTGCCGAGTTATATGTTCTGTTGAATTATTTTTCAATTTTATTTTATTTTTATGAATTAGGCTGACTGATTCTACAATGAAAAGTGAAGTGAGAGTAAGAATACCTTGACGTGCAAACAAAGGCCGACAAGATTCTCTAAATTTTGCTTTACACAGGTACCTAACGGCTCTTTTCTGTAGAGTGAAAATTACTTCAAAAAGTGTTTTTCTGCAGACTCCCCAGAAGGCAATGCCATAGCTTAGATGGGATTCTATATAAGGGCATAATAAGCTGACTTGGTAGCAGTATATCCCAAATTGTTGGCATAGCATCCCGAAGCCAACTTTTTACTGAGACTTGAGATGTGAGTATCGAATTTCAATATGGCATCAATCTGTAGTCCAAGAAATTTTGTATTCTCTTCACTCTCTATGGTATCATTGCCTAGTAGCAGTGCAGGCAAATTGCAACGGAGGCATAGTATATTTGTTTTAGAGATATTTAATGATAGTAAATTTGAATCAAACCATTCTTTAATGCGGTCAAAATCTCTAGAAATGGTTTGAAATAGTTTAGCCTTATTCTTGTCATGCCATTGAATGGTAGTATCGTCGGCAAATAAAGTGAAACTACCTGATATATTCAAATTGGCCATGTCAGGCCAAGTTGAGGAAAACTGTACGAGCATCAGTACAAGATTGGCAGTTGACAATTAGCTGATATCTAGTCATCTCCACTTTTCCACTAATTTGAAATCGTGAGAAAACCGTGTGATCACCTGCCAACAGCAATCTGCTTCCAAGTTGACAACCTAAAAACCTTAACTAATGTAGAAGCAACTATATGATGGAAATTCGATCATTCAAATGGCTTTATTTTGCTGAATTCTGATTGTACAAGTCTACTTAGCTTTCTGATGGAAGTTATTCAGAAGGAAAATAATTGATTGTCTTTATTACTCCAAGAAACATAGTTGTTTATAATAGGGATACATAAACAATATACATAATGTTATACATACAATTATGAAATTATAATAAGATATAACAAGTAAAAAAAAATACAAATAATCATGCAATATCAACCTTGCCTTTTATAAGTAGGTATTCAAATAAGAAATGGAATTATCAAAGTCTCTGAAGCAGATATTTTCTCAAGTTAATTTTGAATCTAGTTGCTTCCTGTATATTCCTCAATTGACTTGGTAATGGTATAGAACGATTCCTGTGTGAAAAATGGATTGTTTGCCGATATTTGACTTGAACGTATTTGCTATTAGTAAATTTGATTGTCTTGTTCCATGATCATGTAATGAATTGATTTCATTGAAATTTGAATTTGAAATTTTCAATTCATATAGGACAAATTGAATAAATCTCTAGGTTTGTATAAATTCATAGTTGGTTCGAGAAAATTCAAATTGAAAATACACTTCAATGTTTTATTTTGTAATTTCATTAGTGGACTCAAACGTGAAATATTGGTACTTCCCCATATAGATATTAGGTATTGAAATTTTGAGTAAATAAGAGAGAAATAAATACTCTTCAAGTATCTAGTAGAAATGAAATTTCGTATTTTGAATAAAATGCTTGTAATAGGATTAAGTTTTTTTCTCAAATGATCTATATGTTTATTCCACAATAGTCGTTCATCAATATAAAGGCCTAAAAATTTTGTTACATCTGTATATTTGATGAGTTTATTGTTGAAGGATAGTGTTCTATTTGAAATGTTCAATGTTCTTTTTGCTATGTACATATATGAGGATTTGTTATAATTGAGAGATAGTTTATGAACTTGTAACCAAGAGGATATTTTCTCTAAATCACTTTTCATATCCATGATAATATTATTTGAATCTTTAGAAAAATAAATCAATGTCGTGTCATCTGCAAATAATTTAAGTTTTCCTCTCAATTCCAAGTTTGATATTGAATTTATGTAGATCAAAAATAAAACTGGTCCCAAGACTGACCCTTGCGGTACACCGCATGAGATGTTCATTAAGGAGCTACAAGTACCACTGACTGGTTGAGAAACATGTTGGTGCATCTGCGGCTATGTCAATACTTGAATGTCAATACTTTCAATAGTGTCACGAGTAGAAAATGGTATAATAATAAATCATTATCAGTAAGTTCGAATCGCGTCCGAACTTCGAATAATGATCAAAGAACTCTCCTTGTAAACCTATAGTGAACTGGATGTGAGGGTTCCAAAGCTATTTGGTCCGGGGCTACTCTTGACTTAAAAATAACTCGTCGTTGAGTCGTAATGGTAATCAACATAACATTGTTAATAGGTCTTTGATGCTATTTTTGTTCATCTAATTATATTTCATAAATACCCATAATATTTCATGTTATTGCGAGAATATTTCAATGTTCGAACAGTCTTGTGATTTCAGCTATCCTTAAACTATATGTACTAACCTATTTGAATCAAGGTTGTTATTTCAGGAAAAGGTCGAAACTTCAGCATTATTATTCTTGTCTGGATCAATTTCCAGCACTCAAATGAAATATATTCCTACTTCCTACTGCAACCCTTAAACTTCTTCACCAAAGAATAATGAATAATAGTGTTTTCCATAGATAAATATAGTCTGAAATATGTGACAAAAATGTTTGGCAAGTAAAGTTGGCGACGATATGACATATTTCAGAACGAAATCAGGTGTATCATCATAATTTTCAACTAATCAGTGTGATATATCTGGAACCTGTTGATTGGTACTCACTTGTTGTTGTACGTTCCCCATTAACAAAGTGTCAGTAGGATTGACAGGTGTCATCGGAGGCACCATCGGAAGAGGTAGCATAGGCATTGCTGGACACATGATTGGAGATGATGGATACATGGGAGTGTTATGATTGTACAGCATACCAGCATGCATATATTGAACTGTAAAGCAAAAGTATAGTTCATCGATATTGAACTGATTGTCCGATCCCAGCGAGCACAAACATCCCTGGGATGTTTTGAAAATGTTGGCATGAAGATGTTATTTTTGAGACGTAATATGCACTGACCAAAAAGGTTTTTGAAGGATATTGAAGTATTGTTTTTGTTCTTCTGTGGCATTTCTTTGTTTGCCTACTGAGAGGTATCCCTGGGATGTTTTGGGATGTTTTAGGAATGTAGGCATGAGGATGTTTTTTTGAGGCGTAATATGCACTTCCCTAAGAGGTCTTAGAAGGATATTGAAAGTATTGTTTTTGTTCTTTTGTGCCCTTTCTTTGTTTGCCCCACCACAACGTCTCATGCTTACGTCACAATACGATGAATTCTGACTTGTTTTCGATTTTGTTCTTCTTGTTCGCAATTGGCATTCGCGTTTGCAGCGTGTCACGCTTACATCACGCTGCTAACGAACAGAAAAGAATTTGGTGAAGTTTATTGTGTTAGAAGACTCATTTAGTTTGTAATAATGACCATCAGATGCAAGATGTGTTGTTCGGTGCCTCAGTGTAATCCATATATAAAAGTACGAATTCATCAATACACAGCTTCTCCGCAGTTGCAAAATTATGCATTGTGGAGAACATTTCAAAAATTTGGAAACCTATTTCCAATTATATGTCTGTGTGTAGTAAGCAGTACTCAGAAACCGATTAAGAAGGTAATTTCATATCAAGAAAATATTTTTATGTTCAATCTATTTTTAATGCATTTTTTCATTCAAGGGAAATGGAATCCTAATGCAAAAGTTCATTTTGTCAAAAGGCTTCGGAAAAGTACCTCGAAAATGGTTTTTTACAGCGATTTTATGTGCGCAAGACGCGTTGAAAATGTTCTGTCGTGTCTATGAAAAGGCTTTAAAAAGAACTAGGGAGAAGGTAGTTTTGTGACATATCAAGGACATCTCGATAATTGCCGCCTGCGGCGGACATTGGCTGTTCTATATTAGTTCTATTCATGTGTGAACAGAACATCGCAGTGGAGGTTCAATGTCTCGAAATCTCGTACTTTTAACATCTCTGAGATGTTTTTGTGCTCGCTGGGATGTGTTCCGCAGGGTTCGGTTCTTGGTCCAGTATATCATCTAGCATACATAAATGACGAGAATATTGATATTTACCTGGATATCTGGATCCTCCATAACCGATAAATGGTCCAGGTATCGTCCTTTGGTGTGTAGTGGGAATATAATAAATGGGTAGCATCCCAGTTGCAAAACCTCCTGGGGCTGCAGATGTTGCGGTGATGTTGCGAGGCTGCTCGTTTGTCATGGAAGTGACTGTTACAGAAAATGGAGGCCACAAGTCCACATTATTCAACTGCCAAAAACAAAAAAAAAAACTAAATTATATGTCACTCATTGGGAACTCATTGTCACTTATTAATTTAGTGGCATAAAAATCAACTGATACATGAACAGAAACAATTGTACTTATGTGGAAGTTCTGGAAGTGGATCAGATGCTATTTGAATCTTTGATAACATAAGAAATATATGAATTTCTATAATTTTATTTACCCCTGATTGATAAATGGTATCGTTAACTGCCATGGTATTGGTAGTAGGTTGATTCTGATTGTTCACTGGTTTGACTGGGGCGTCGTTTCCATTAGTGCCGTTTTCGTCTTTATCTTTGGTCACTCCGGGTTGATGTTTGTGTTTGGAAACCTTATGATTGTCTCCGTCTCTCGAATGGGTACCACACCTTTTGATACCATGGGCATATCCATCAAGAAGTTGCTGAAAACATGGAAAATTCATGGTACCTAGGTGTAAAATCATTAGTTGATTTAGAATAACCGATGGACTTCGATTGAACAATAATTTCACTGGATTACCGACAATTGGACGTGGTCAATTGGACGCACGAAAATTGGACGCGGATAATTGGACGCGGCGACAATTGGACGCGGCGACAATTGGACGCGGCGACAATTGGACGCGGCGACAATTGGACGCGGCGACAATTGGACGCGGCGACAATTAGGACGCGGCGACAATTGGCGACGCGGTCGACAATTGGAGCGCATGCGTGAATAAAAATAATTTAATAATTCCAATGAAATTTCATTGCATAGGAATATGAAATACTGATGCTTATATCCATAACTAAACCTATACCTATGCCTCGTTTGGACAATTATTTTCCTATCTCATATCGTAATATGAATTTACGATACAATATAGTATTCGTATCGTAAATTCATATTACGATATGAGATAGGAAAATAATTGTCAAACGAGGCCATAGGTATTTGTTATAGTTATGGATATAAGCCCATCAGTATTTCATATTTTATACAATGAATTTCATTGGAATTATAAAATTATTTTTATTCACGCATGCGTCCAATTGTCGCCGCGTCGAATTGTCGCCGCATCTAATTGACGCCGCGTCTAATTGTCACCGCGTCCAATTGTCGCCGCGTCCAATTGTCGCCGCGTCCAATTGTCGCCGCGTCCAATTGTCGCCGCGTCCAATTAACTGCGACCAATAGTCGTGCGTCCAATTTTCCACGTCCAATTGACGCGACACCAATTTCACTTTATTTGTTCTCACCTCATTTTTCTCAAAGCTACTTCTATCTGTCGCACTGATCTTATCTAGTTTTTGATGGGACTTTTTACTGTCTCTGTCTTTGATATTAGATCTTTGTACACGGTGTTTTTTAATCATGATCTTCTCCATATCTTCATTATGCCTACAACAATAAATGGTTCGTTATATCACAAAAAAAAAATCAAATGTTTTGGTATATTAGTCGATTTTTTTTTTGTACACTCACTTGACTAATATGGATTCCGTAAGATGAGGAGGTTTGTAGGAATCATTCGACGTGTTAGTGAGACTAGCAGTACCACTTTCAATGTTCACATTGCTCACTGAACTCAGGTTTCCTGCACTACCACTTCCAGAAGTACCACTTTTCCGTATAGGTGAAAGACGTTTCCTGAAAAAACAGTTGAATAGATTGTTTCATCCAACGTCAGAAGCATATCAACTACAGTTCTAAAAATGATGACTTGATTATCTGAGCTGTGCCAATGGTAATTTTCAAATATATTCGTGGTTTCGCCAGTTTCTGGATAACTTACTGATTATCTTTAGTTCTCTTGTCATCAACAAATGTATCTCCCTGCATGGCTCCATTGTTTTCGTCAGAAACAGTAGTGTTCGGCTTGCTCTGGAAGAACCTCTGGATATTCTCGTTGTAGTTCAGCTGATTGTAGCTAGGGGGCGTCTCGGACGAACTTTTGCTATCACAATAGTCGTGGTGGGGAGAAATTTCACCCAGCATGACAGAACCTCGTTCCTGGAAAATTTCCAAGTGGAATTATAATCGGTAGTGGATGTGTTGGGGATGATCGATATAGCTTCGATGAAAAAAATAAAAGAAAATGATGGTTCACCTTCAAATAATTCATATAATCTTATTGTTTCATGAGTAGGCGTATGTAATTGGATTTTTTTAGTAGGGTTAGTTCTTATTGTTTTTCTGTTAATTATACAGTGTCATTCATAAAGTCGGCATCATATGGGAAAAACTTTTATTAATGACTTATTTTGGAATTCGAGTTGGACGTTGAGTTTTGCTTCGAAAAAGATGCAAAACGGCCTACCCAATCGGGGTCAGGTGACTTTCGCTACATGTCAAAAGTGACACTTTTTCAAATTAATCGCTGAAAGTAGGCTTATTTGTTCGAATATCGAAAAAGTTTAATTGAAAAAGTTGTTTCAATTTGAATTTCACATATATATGACTCGGATTTTATCTTTCTATTACATGTTTTGTTTGCATCAAACATAACGGAATTTTGAAGCGGAGATTATCATTTTCTGAAGAAAATCATATTTTTGTCGATAATTAGTGATAATTAGTAATTGAAAGTAAGTAGCATGATGAAGCTACTGGTATGAAGTAGTTTTATCGAATTTACAATTTTTTTTATATTACAGAAATTTCGAAAATGTTTAAAAAATATCGAAATCTAAAAAATATAATAGAGAGATAAAATCCGAGTCACATATGTAAAATTTAAACAGAAGCAACTTTTTCAAGTAAACTTTTTCGATATTCGAACAAATAAGCCTACTTTCAGCGATTAATTTGAAAAAATGCCACTTTTGACATGTAGCGAAAGTCACGTGACCCCGATTGAGTAGGCCATTTTTCATCTTGTTTGAAACAGAACTTAACGTCCAACTCGAATTTCAAAATAAGTCATTAATTAAAGTTTTTCCAATATGATACCGACTTTATGATTGACACTGTATAAGTGTATATGTCATGAAACTCGTGTAGTTCTGAATGGGAATAATGTTCACTACAACAAAACAATATAAAATGTAGAATATCAACAATGTATTTACTATTCCACTTCTTCAAGATCCTCCACCCAGTTAGTGTTAGTCGATTAATGTGATAAAATAAAAAGAAAACAATGAACTTACCCTCCTTCTCAAACTTACCGAGATGGTAGGATCTAACTCTTGTGGTAAGTCTATTTGTAGATTAGATTTGTTTACCTCATCCATGAGGGACTCCATGAAGTTTGCCAGATCTTTACAACGTTTCGACACTTCATATTTGACTGCCTCAGTCGGACGAGGAAGTTCCTAAAAAAACATAATCTTTCAGTGTTATCTTCACCGTACGTACCTATAACAATGATTATTTTCTTCGTATGATTTGAAACCAATAAGAAGGTTCAGTTGAGTCGATCTACCTTGTATAATTTCGAATATACGTGAATATACATAAAGTAACCCAACCAATCAGAAATACATAATTATTCCTATATCCATAGTAACCGATTTATATATGTATACATACGAACAGAGCCCGTAGTGAAATTTTTACGTTTAGAAATACTGAAAAAATGATCGAATCGAATACAATTCGAACTTCAAAATATTACAGTTATACATCTTCAACTTCCTGCACATTTACAAATCGTATCACTTTGATTATTGATTATCTCAACTGTTGGACAGACACTCTTTGTATCTGAAGCCTTTGACTGTGTCTCTCATGAAATACTTCTTGAGAAACTAAACTACTATGGAATCAGAGAGGCATCACTCTCAGTCTCATTGATTCCTATTTAGGCGATCGATTTCAAACAGTATACCACAATAATGAACTATCTGATTTCAAAGGTTTTGAATTTGGTGTACCACAAGGTTCTGTGCTAGGGCCTTTACTGTTTATAATATATATTAATGATTCACCCACTTTTTTATCCCCATACAGTATCGTTATGTTTGCAGACGACCTGACACTGATATATTCTCATGAAAATCACGATTCATTGAATCTCTTGTCTGAGGAAATTGAAGAGAAAGCCATAAACTGGTTTATAGCAAACGATCTCAAATCAAACAGTGACAAATCACAAAATTCAATATTCTCTACCAGCAACCAGCACATTTCAACATGAGGAATGTAAAATTTTTGGGTCTCACTTGGAAAATTCCTTCAATTCCATTGAAGAATATGTGGAATGTGTGGAAAAAGGTATCCTCACTGAATCACAGAATATTAACTTCATTGATGCCTGATTTGTACCTTATTGATTGACATTGATAAATGTATGATTTCATATATACACTTCAATTGATTACTGTAATTTTTCCATTTTATATATACACTTCTTTTGTAATTGTGAGTGTTGTATACTTCACTTCACTTGCCATTAACTTTTTTTCTGTCTCAACTAAACATTTTTATGAGAATGAGATGGAATGGAATCCAAATACGAACCTTATTCAGTAAGATCAAGATTTCTCCTCTAATGGTTTTGCTTTCATCGAGTAATTCCTCCGAAACATTCTTCATATCATCTTTAGTTGGAGGCTGGAATATATCTGGATTAGGGGGACCCTGAATGAAAGAAAACAGGTATCAATATAGGGGATGTTCTTTTTCATTTTTTCAAATTATCATCAAGTAATTGCAGTCAATGAAAACTCAGTTTGCAAATAGTTACCTGCAATACTTTGTGTAATCCGATGACAAATTCTAATCTCCTGGACCATGGATTAACAAAGCTCGACCATTCCGTCTCGATCATAGCGAAACCGCCATTTTTCACAGCAAATCTATAAGGCTTGCTACGATACACAGATCCGGCTTTTTGGCACATTGTCATCACTGATAAAAAAAAAAACATGATAACAAAGAGGTTCCTAATTTTCAGTACCAGTAGACTTACCAGATTCGTAAATTTCCTTGAGAGAGTGCATATCGTCTGGATGATAGAAATCGAAAATCGATTTTCCTAACATGTCCTGTGGAAAGAATCCAAAATTCGTCACCACATCTGGATCCACGTGACTGAAAAGACAGGCAGCTGTATGCCGCATTCCGAATTTTGGGGATTTTCTTCTTTCGTCAGGAACTACACAAACATATCATTGTTGCAAAGAAGGCTTCGGAATTTCAGTGATAAAATTACAAATAACATTTTTGATGATAGCAAAATTAACTGTGGCAAATGTCAATTTATTGAATCATGTGTTTGGCAGTGTATCGATTTCTATACTGAAAATATAATGAGGAGAGATTTGATTGTCTGTTTGTTTGTATGAATTGAATAGGCTCCGCAAGGACAGGACCGATTTGAAAATCCGATATTAGAAACAGACATTATCCTTGATGAATACAGGCTACTATCTACCGCAAAAAAATTCATCATTCCTACGGGAAAACGGGTGACATCGGGTAGTAAGAATGATCATTCCATACTTATCTATTTCACATAACTTCTGAACGGCTTGACCGATTGGGTTTAAATTTTTAATGCGTAAACAACAACAAAAATATGTGTGAAATAAGTAGGAATCGGGAGAGTCTAGACCACCCCCACCCCTCCACCCAACCACGTGACTCGGCTAGCCAATCAGAGACTAGCATTTGGTTGGAGGCCACGCCCATTGAAAACCGGCGCGAAATTCAAATTATTCCATATACGTATTAATAATCAATACGGATAATCTCTATCTGTTTCCATAGCGAAACATGAAGCCAATTTTTGAAGACAAATGACTATCCATAAGGAAAAGTTTTGAAACGATCAGACACATACTGCTTTGATTGAAAGGCTAGTAAACATCATTGTCCACCGAAACGCATGTCTTTGATGACTACTATAATAGCGCATGGCGCATGCGTATCATGCCACCAAATCCTTATGGATATTCATTTGTTTCATATTTTTGGCTTCATCCTGGCACCCGTTATGATCCGTATTGTTTATTAATACGTATATGAATTATTCATGCGAGGTTACGTCGCCATCATGAATAAATTCAAAAAAGCTGTCACCGCTGGGGAATTGAACCATGGACCTTAGCATTATGAGGTAGAGTATATACTCACTGTGGTATTCCGACCTCCGTAATATTTCAATTATTTCAATGCTATTCAAACGAAATATGTTTCAGCATGGAAACGTGAGCGTGATGGAGTGACATCATCGACGACAGGGTATTTGAGTTGATTGAAATGACTTTATACAGGGTGTTTGAGTTGAATGAAATTGAAAATATATATATAGGGCGGCCCATGGTTAGACCACCCCACTTATGTGTTGAACATGAATTAGACAGCTGACGTATGACAAACGACATATGACATTTGACAGATGGCCATCGACAATAACAAATAACAATGATCGATGACACGTGAGCAGGCTACGCCTGAAAGCCGGCTCCCAGCTTGTTCTATCCGTTCGATATACAGGGCGACAATGAGAAAATATACAGGGAAACATTTTTGGGTACACCAACCGTGTGAAGCCGGGCTGGACAACTAGTGTTCAATAAATTATTTTATCAATCAAACGTAGGGCAAAAAAAAAGTATTGACGAATGTGCATACTGAGAACATTTTGAATCGATCTCTCAAAGACTTTCAGTAGACGACCTGGGGGTATCTTGAACCACAAATAAATATCCTTCGAAATCATACAGATTAATTATATTCACCTTTATAGGATGTATAAACAGGAACAGCAGCAACAACTAAGAACATTCCGCTGTGGTTTTCCATTTCAGGTGCATTCTGGATTTGTTTGAATCTAACGGTTAGTTGAAATGCTTGATAAGCTACTGCCTTCTCCACCACTCCAAACCCTGACTTCAATCCACGATACTTCCTCAGACACACATAAAGGCAATTGTTGTAATCTGAAATGTTCAAACATCAACAATTATAATGGTCCTTATACTCCCTTAACTCGAAAGAAGAACTGTCGACTGGATACTTGCTTTTGTATTTTTCATCTGAGTCTATCAGTGGGTGTGCAATGTCTGAGGTAACTTGGCTGGAAAACGTTTTCCTGTCTTTGGGATGAACGAAATCGATGAAAGATCGGCCTAGCCACATGTCCTTGGGGAACCCCAACACAGATGTCAAACTGGGGGTAGTATGCAGTACTACTCCATCATACATGGATATAACACAGCAGAAACCGTCCTGGAACAGAAACTAACTTAGCTCAACGAAACCTGATGGATCGGAAATTCGGGAAGCTAGGGAATAATGGATCTTCTCATTAAGATCCAAAGTGGCACTGTTTTTACCAGAGAATTCCGCATTTGCGAGAGCAAAATTTGCGATTCAAACAAAGTCACTTTTGATCCGAATGAAACATACAATTTTTTCTGCAACCGAAAGAATTGGAATATGTGAAGTAACCACCAATGCCGTGCCATATGTATGCAATTCAACAAATAATCCGTGTGATGAGAATATTGTACCTGCTTACCAGATCAGGTTTATTTAATTTTGAATTGGAAATATTTGTTTATGCGTGGACCAGGTGCTCTGATAGCAAATACCACACCAGTGCCAGGTATAGGAAAATGTTAGGTTAGTGAGCATACCAACAATAATAATAACGATTTTTTATTTCTCTTCACACTCCACTGTGTTTGGCTCGTAATTGAATGATGGTGAGCAATATCGTTTATTGCTGGCCGTGATTATTCAAAAACAAGTTATCCGTCCCGAGAATGACGAATGAAATACAAATCAAGCAAGTATGTGAATCTTGAAGGCTTTCCTCTTTCCTGGTCAAAACAGAAATACTTAACTACAATATGGTGTTATTATATCTCCAGCATGGGTATGAAATGCCAAATCTACCGAAATCGGAAACAAATCAGTTATGCGTCCCAACCCAAATAACCAAACGTAACAATGTTGTTTATTTTCGATGATGACCTCTAGTACATCCCTTTTAGTTCCTAGGAGCTAAAGATCAACTTTAGCTCCGAGGAACTAAATGTGTTGCCTAGCAACATACCTATGTTTGCGTCCCAACCCAAATAACCAAACATAACAATGTTGTTTATTCTTCATGATGACCTCTAGTACATCCTTTTTAGTTCCTAGGAGCTAAAGTTCAACTTTAGCTTCTAGGAACTGAATATGTTGCCTAGCAACATATCTATATTTGTGTCATTATTAGAAACGTTAATACAAGAGCTAATGTTGGTATTAAAATTGACGACTTGTGTGTCGGTTGCAGAAAAGCACATTTTGTTTGGATAGATTGCTGCATCAACTACTGCTGGAAAACAACTCACCTGCGGTTGATACAAGTGCTCATCGTTAGGTTCTACTTCGGGTTCTATTGTTTCCTTGATAGGCACATTCTTCGGTGATGCCTGGTGATGGTTTTGTTCACACCAGTAAGGGAGGATTTTTTCTGGCAGAGAAGGTTTAGCTAGCGAATAAAATATATATGATATACAATCATGATAAGTGGATAGAGTGATTAGCTATGTGGTAAGGCTGTCGCTAGTTCTGAGTAGAGTCACTGGATGGTATTAGTTTGATAAGAGTTCGGACACAGAAATGACAACGGTTAGGGTTTTTGAATGTTTAGATTTATAAAGTTATACACCTTGCATTGTGACAAGATCACCATAGTCGTCCCGCGCTTTTTCATTCAATTTTTTTTTTGAATTTGACAATTCATTTTATAAACGTCAGAATTGAAATAAAATTTCATAATTATTATACTTTCGAGATGAAAGCAGCTATGGAAATCACTTGCTGTATAATAAATTGTGCCAATTTTGAAACAAATGGATATCATTTATTCGATTTTCCAAATCAAATATCAAGCATTCGCTTATGGAAGGAAGATATGAAACGGCCTGGGTGGAAAATCAATTTGAAGACGAGCGAAATTTGTGAGGTAGGTACTCATTGAAATTCACTTCTTATAACAGCAGCTGATTAAAATGAATCTATATTTTAGGCCCATCCTCAAACAGAAGATTTTAAAATATGTTTGAGAGAATCTGGCTGTTCCATCAATTTACAAAGCAGACGATTTCAAGAACAAAATTCCATTATTATCATCACACAAAATACAAAACAAGATAATCATGGAAAAAGGGGAAATGATCGCGAAATTACATTATGAAATTGAAAATTTGAGAACGAAACTAAGAAAAGCAAGTAAACTACAACGTGATATATTATTGAATGGCGTTTTTGGTGCTGACCGCGAATTCAAAATTCAACAGTGAAAAGTGAATAGATATTTATGTATCAAGGGAATTATTATAAGGGCCTTAATTACGCTGGAGGTTATCGTTTTGGAGATACTTTCTATATCGATTCATGTTACTTAGCTCCTAGGGCGCTAAGTGAAGTTGCTGAGAACTTAACAAAACCAATTATTTAGTAGGTCTTGTCAAAATAAATTACTTTTTTCCCATGAAATCTTTATCGAAAAATGATTTGTTCTCTGTATTTCAACACCCTGTAACTCCGAAATGAAGCATTTCCAGACACAAGCTTATATAGACTTTATTTCTAATAATTGTCTCAGGAATACTTCACTTAATATATCAATCAACGACTGGAGTACAGTTTCACATACAATAAGGAATTATAGCTATAAGTTTATCCATATGTATATATTCTCTGATATTAAAATGTTGTTACATGCATTTTTTCATTGATATAAATCTTGTTCTGCAAGAAGTGTATCACTATGAATTGAAGTGGGTGTTTGTACCCTATATCCATTGTCCATCTACGGCTATAATCGATTCGACAGAAAATATAACCTCTAAAATCGTATCTGACAATCAGGCGCTACTAGGGAAATTGAAAATACAAAGAGCAGAATATATGTGTTATTCTTTTATTCACTTAAACCATTGGTAGGTATTATAGAAAATAGAAAAGGACAAAAGTTCAGCTGTGTCCGAACTCCTATCAAACTAATACCATCCAGTGACTCTAGTTCTGAGTAGATAGGTGCATTCAATTTCATTATTATTTTGAACATTGAGTTTGCTGGAGGGAAAAATTCTTATGAGATGAATTATGGAAAAGAAATCGCTGAAACACAAGTCGATTAATTTTTCTCAAAATATGGATTGTTTATTGAAACCGCACGCATTATGTGCGGTTTCAATGAACAATCAACTTTCTCAGTACTATTAAGAATGTGAATTGACTTGTGCTACAGTGAGTTTATTTTTCAAAAAGTAGGAAAGTGAAAACATTTGTAGTTCATCGAATGGTATCTGTGCCATTCACTATCCTGAGCAAGCTGATAAAAAATTTGCACTTTATTGTGCGGAAATTTGCACACGACTTTGATAACGAGATGAGAATTATGCCATCCGATACCAATTGAAGGGTACGTCTCAAAAACCTACCTAGGCCACTCCTCAATCTACGGCACAGCGATTTAATTGCTCCTATTATTCCGAACATGCTTCCGTCATGTGATAACGAGTTGAAACAAAAAGCGAATAGAAGGGAAAACGACCCTTTCGCGAATATCAAAACGTGCAGCGATTCAAAATGATCTAATTCAGTGGCAGAGCATCAATATTTCCGTGAATATTTCGCCCTCGTCGAAGGATAATATCCGATGGACCAGTGTGACACTCATGTGATGCTCACACTACAAGTATTCTAATCCACATGTTGAGTTTCACACTAGTCCATCGGATATTATCTTCAGTATTTCATTGAATCACCCTGTATATTTTCGCACATGTTGTTTGTTTCCGGTGGAACCGGAAGTTCAGGTGAAAAGGTGAACCAGTCAAAAAACTTGAGGAATATCAAAATAGAGAAGTCCAATCCGCACAACGATAATCTGAATAGTTTCGGAGATATCAGCAGTTGAAATGGGTCAGTATATAACTGGTCACCCGGTATCAAATTATCTTCCAAATTCTCCATTTTCGAGATGAATGTTTGACGATTGGTTGAAATCGATAATTACCTGTTTTAGTTGTGTCCGCTTGGAAAACTTTGTTTTCTTCTTCATTTGCTTTGTTATTCGAATCTTCTATGAGAGATGTTGATATGTCTTTTGGCGTAGGTGAAGTCGCTGCAACGTCACCTTGTGAGTAAAAAAAATGTTACAGCAATGATAGTCACAATTGTAGAAAATTGTACGTAAGTACCAAAATTTGATGATGGATAACCGAAAAATAACATCTCGAACTGAAGAAGATGATTGATCTATATTTTTATGCGTGTACAAGTTCAACTGAATAACGATATAAAAAAAACTATAAAATTTCACTAGAAATAGATCATATTAGAATAAATGGTATAGTTCTTCTTACCCGTGACCTTTTCTGCTGGCTGGTTATCGTCAACATTTGTTGACTCTCTGATGACTGCTGAAGGAGATTTCGAAGATGGAATTGGAGCCAGTCTTTGACCAAATGGCTTCTTATTCTTGTGCTCATCCTCTTCAATGCTTTTCGATAATTGGGTAGCAGCGACAGAGCTGCAGAATATTATCAATCATATAAACAACTGAAAGCGCTTGAGAAATTATTTGTTACAGATCCGATCATCATCAATGTTGATTGATCTGTTCCATTTATTAATATACTATGCTGATGTATGCTGATGATCTTAAAATATTTCATACAGTTTCATACTTGAATGATTGTATACTCATTCAAGAGGACCTTGATCGATTCTCAGAGTCTTAGAGTACTGCAGAAATAACTCCCTCTTCTTATATCTCAACAAATGCCATCAGATGACTTGTAGTAGAAACTCTAATTTAATTACTCATAACTATACCATGCAGGATCATTATCTCCACATCTGCAGTGAAGTGAAGGAATTGGGAATAATTTTTTATTCAATAAACATATTTCTCAAATATCTAAGAAAGCGAACAAAATGCTAGGTTTTATTTCAAGAACAACTTATCCTTTCAAAGATTATAATACCTTATTATAACTCTTTTCATGACATACGTAAATAGCTCCTCTTTGTAAATAGTCTGTTAGGCTTCGGCTCAACCATTTGGAATCCCTATTATGTAATATACACGAAACAAATAGAAAGTATCCAGAACAAACTTATTACTTATATCAACAAAACATATTTCATAAACACGCCACGAAATCACTTCGTAATTCGAAAACAAAATTTGAATAGTCTGGCTGATAGAGGAGCTATCGTCGATATCAAATTATCTTTCAAAATTATAAATAGAATCATTCATTCCTCATCAATAAATAATTTGATCCATTACAATGTTCCACAATATACCAATTTTTTCCGACTCCTTAACCATCTTTATGAACGAATTCAAGAAACATTTTGTTTCAGCATCCAATTGATGATATGTCAAAAAAATTCTTTTTCATGTAAAATATTTAAAATCTTTGCACTGTATAATGGAATTGAATACCTAACAACATGACATACTCAGTATACCTTCATGTGAATACTGTCTCTGGGTTCGTCTTTGTATTCCTGTTTGTGTAAATAAAATAAAAAATAAAAAATAAAAAATAAAAACAAAACCGATACCGATTTTTGAGAACATACCAGTTCAAATTGTTATATTATAATTGATTCATAATCTTCATTTCTAGTGAGGTAGTGAGTTGTAGAAAATGAATCTGTATTTCCGAATTGAAAGTGTTTGATTGTTCGTCAGGATTTTGGAACTATATACAACTAACAATCTCACCTGCCATCTGGATTCGTAGCTCCGCAATAACCACTGCTTCTGCTAGAATTGCTTCCGCTATGTCTAGACTTGGAACTTGCACTACAAAAAATATATGGAATGCAATTAATTAGAGAAAATTCAGAGGTCTCAAGAGTTATCGAATTATTTTCATTACGTCCAATATTCTCTCCTAGCTCTGTTCCTATAAAGGAGTTAATTTTGAAGTATTGCATTCTAACAATGAAGTTGATTTCCACTTCTGAATCTAACCGAAAATGCCGCCATCATAAATTGTTTCTTCGTTAAAAATTTTCAGGTCGTTATTGTTATGAGAACTCAAAATGTTATGTATAATTGAGACAAACAACATTTGTTCAATGGATTAAAATATGCCCTCATATTCCTTACCTCCTTTGTGAGTTGGTGTGGCTGCAGCTATTGGAATACGCTGAATCTGATATCTTCGTGTTGGTAGTACCTGTTTCAGACTCCATGATAGGTTTTCTCACAATTTTTCAACTATGGAATTATTCCAATGGTCTGAAACTGTAAGAAAAACAGTATTATTCTAGCATTTTTCAAAAGGAAGAAGGAAAGCTCAAAGTCATCTCCACTACTTTATTACTGATGTAAATCAATCAAAGGGACATCATGTTTCGGACTTATAAAAGTCCATCTTCTGCCATGTTTAGAAGTAACTTCAAGCAATGGCATGTGAAAATATACATATTATAAAAACCGAAAGTTGACTTACATGGAGGTGAACATTATTTTCGAATTGAATGCCGATGTCTATCATCATAATATCGTCGTCATGTAAATAAATGGAGGAGGTCGAGAAAAAACGGGGTTTTATTAAAAATGAAGGGCCTTGTACCCTGAGAACGCGCACTTATGAAACCAAAAGTCAAGTCCCAGAAGAGAAACTTGACGAGCACTCAAAGATGCTCATATGAGCATCTTTAACCTCCTCTATTTACATAACCACGATATTATGATGAAAGACTCCTAACAACACAAGTAAATCCTAAGGACTTTCCAGGGACGTCCCTAATTTTATACTAGGACATCCCAGGGATATCCTTGTCGGAAAAAAGTAGATACTAGGGACGTCCCAGGTACATCCACTTTCAGACAAAAAGGACATCCAAAGGATGTCCAGGATGTCCTTCTGGTACGTCCCTGGTATGTACCAAGTATGGAGAAAGGATATCCCTAGGACGTCCCAAGGGTATTCCAGGGACATCCCTTCGACAAAATGTAAGTCGAAATGGAATTGAACCCGGTACCTTCTGCTTATCAGGCACGCACATCACTCTATTGGCTAATATGCCCTCTGAAGATTTATGTACTTAACAGATTTATAAACAGTACAAAACTGAAACCTGAATAAATACAATTTTGTTAGGATTTCATGTATAATTATTAGATACTATCTGTAGGTTAATCGAGGAGGTGGTACATTAATTTTACTTGATTTTTTGGGATTTTCTCTCCTTTCTTTCAAAGAGAAATATTTCGCATTCACATGTTGGGAACGGGAGCAGATTCGGTCCCGAAACGTCCAAAGATAAGTGAAAATTCGATATTTTATCAATATATCTATATTTCTTTCCTTCAAACATTTTTTCAAACAAATTGTCACTGACAAGCGACTGGATTTTCCTCCCTGATAGAAAAGTTTGTTAAACGCAGTGACATTTTGGGGCAAATCATCTGATTTGTCCCGCTACAAATATATTGAAATAATACGAATATTTTTATTTCATAGAAACGAGGAGAGAAAATACCAAAAATCAAGTAAAATGAATATAATGATTATAATTTCTTGAGAAGTTCTGAGACTATATTCTTTATTTTCATTACAATTATTTTCCGGAAGAAAAACAAATATTTTCAAAATAATTCAACTCAATATTTTGATGAAATTCAATGACTCTGATGTGAATGGATTTCAGGACATTCCTGTGTTGTTAGGGACATCGGCATCCAATTTGAAAATAATGTTCACCTCCATGTAAGTCAACTTTCGATTTTTATAATATGTTTATCTTTATATGACTTTTTTTTATCGCTTGGAGGGCACGAAAGGAAATCCCTATAATGGGAGGATAGGGGCAGGAGGTCGGTATTGGAATTTTTCTTGAACTTCTGGAGATTATATGTTGTTGTGAATACTTCCTCAGGCAATGACTTCCAGAGCCTAGCCGTTCCATGGATGAAGGAGTTTTGATGAAGTGCTGTTCGACATCTTTCGAGAATGACAACGAAAGGATGTGCTGATTGGGCTTGTTTAGTTCATCTGACTAGTATTACTAGTGAAGGGATGATAGCAGAGATTCCCGAAGAACATTTCCCGAGGAAGAATCGATAGATACGGTGTTCCAATGATGTGAAAGAGTGAGTGAGTGTGGCGTCACCAACCAGGCGATCGAATGACTCTCCTCTGAATGGAATCTAAAAGCATCAGCGTATGTTTTATAGCTAAACCCCATATGTGGGAACAGTATTCTAGAACAGGCCGTATCTGCGCATTGTAGGTCATGAGAAGCTGTTGAGGTGTAGTGTAGCTTTTCGCACGGAACAAGAATTTGAGTTTTTGTGAAGCAGCTTTTGCGATGAATCTGACATGGTTATCCCATGAAAGAGTGTTAATTGCTGATTGAATTATCGAGCATAGATATGGTGGGCTTGGTGGGGATGGTGGTGCCAGACATTACAATATCGCTGGTAGTAACTTCTGCAAAGGGTCGAAAATGGACTTTTATAAGTCCCTTGATTGATTCACATCAGCAATAAAGTAGTGGAGATGACTTCGAGCTTTCCTTCTTCCTTTTGATTTGAGAATTTAGTTTCGAATTAATGAGTCAAATATATTTTCATGGAATCCATTCAAGTTGAGTCACTGACTGCCGGTACACTAGACACTTCCTTTTCCGGGATATAGGAATGAGTCGTATTTCAGCCATTTTATTTCATCAGGACATGTTTTCTGATGTGGGTTTTGGTAGTGTGTTGTCAGTTCATCATCAATTACACTACTACAGTGCAGTGGCTATCTGGCGCTAATACTCAATAACTCTGCCATCAGACTATTCGATAGACGATGGAAATCATTGTAATAGCAAAAATCATAAAAGTGGTATTTTAATTGAAATGGGTAGAGGTCAACTCTTTATTCGAGTTCCGAGTTGCATTATGCAGTAAATTCATTGTAGGTGAGTATGTAATATCGAGTGTACTTTCACTTCGAAGATAATTATGCTACCAGTAGCAGACGATGGTCCAGCATAGACAGTGACTGAGGCACCCATAGCACAGTTACCATATGTTGAAATACGATTGAGGATTAGCAATAGAAATTCAGTTGTCTCAAAATGTTCCCGTATGATTTGTGACTTACTGCTTATGATAAATTTGTGTAAATAATAATTACATTAATTCGCACTAGAGGACATTTGAATCGGTGAACGTGACAACACGGCGCATGACTTGTGGGCGTGGTCTTGTTAGTTTTCAGCATTTAGCACAATGTTGCCAAGTCTCCAACATGTAAATGATATTTTGTTATGGAGAATAAAAAATATTTGGACATGCTGGTTGCGCGGAAAAGTCAAGAATGAACTATAATATCATGGGTTCCATTATGTTTTATTCAACGACGGGATCTCAACATCTTTTTGATAACTTGATTATAATTGGTGACTTGACAACCTTGCTTCATGAGTGGAAATGGAAGATTATCTGACCAATAACGAAACAGCATAAAAACTGACCTCACCATTTGTTTGACGTATCGCCAAATGGCGGCTATGAAGGTTCGTTTGAAATGAACTCTCAAATTAAACAATTTAGAACAACGCATAGACTTATTATTCATATGAAAAAAACGTGATAAGTGTTGCAAAAATTGATTTAGATTGCTAACGACATAGTGGAGTAATTGAATTTGTTAACATGCTTTCCATTATCCTATTTTTTACTTTTTCATTTCAGTTATCTATTGAAGCGTGTTTTTTTCTCAATTTTTATCAAACTACTATTCATTTCTCATTGAATATTTCACAGTCATCATTTTGAAGCAGTTATTATACCTACTTATATTTATTTAACTACCGGGTGTCAACGAATTTATTAGACAAGCCATAACTTCTAGAATATTTGGTGTATCAAGATAAAATATAACATGGGTATATGGTGTATGAAGAGGAAAGTTGTCTCATATTTTTCATTTCCGGTTCATTTCCGGTTTCTCCGGAAATGGCCCAGGTTTTGAATTTTCAAATGGAATGGATTATGTTTTTTTTCAATTCCTGAGACAATTATGACCAGAATTCAACATTTCCAAAAGTTTTTACGCAAACATCATTTTTTTTTAGTCACCTTTAATATGGCATCTGATGGGTGACCGCATGATCGGAAGTAAACTTATCTAAAGAAAAGGAAGGAGCATTTAATGTCTGCTTATAAGGCTTTGGTAACTATAGCACCTAACCTGATTGTTTTGTTTTCCATAGAAGACTTAAAAAATAACTGCTAAATAATATTCATCATGGGTATACATAGCACACTTGACAAATGTGAATAAATAAAAATCCAGTATTTTCCTTCGTCATATAGAATTTATGAACTTATTTTCAATCCAATCGCACATAATAAATTAGTATCGTTAGATTCGTCAAATAATCCTTTGTTTGAATAGTAGTTGGACACGGAAATGCAGGTTTGTCAACTTGTCTCCTTCCTATCTAACATATTCGTCACTAAAACTTTGTGGTTATATTATTTTCTGACATCACCTCATGTCCTAAGTTTACATCCGATCATGGCCACCTATAGATGCAATATTAAAAGTGACTTTCAAAAAATGAAGTAGACATATAAACCTCTCAAAATATCATATTCTTATCCATAATTGTCTCAAAAATTCATAAATGTTATAATGTACAGGGTGTTCCGATTGAAACTTCGAAATTGGAGCCATTTCCGGTGACAAGAGAAGAGAATATAGCCATACTAAATTTCATTTTGATACACCGGATATTCTAGAAGTTATGGCTTGCGGAATAGAATTGTCGACACCTGGTATAATCACGATAGGCGGGAGGCAAATATTCAATTTTTCCAAAACCAAACCAAAAATAATCGAAAAAGGATGAGGATATTATATTTTTGCTTTGAAGAATATTTTATACAGGGCAGGACGAGCTTACACTATCTCTATTTCAAGAATCAGTCGGGAGGAATACAGGAAAATATGCATTTTTATATTTTAGAATACGCTCTCTTCATTCAAAATAATTTCAGCGAAGCAGTGTTGCTACTTCTATCAAAAAGTAGCAACAACTTTGTTATTCCAAATAGAATATCCTGTTTTCCATTGCATTTTTAGATTCTCCCTGAAGAGCTGATTCCATCGATATGTATATCAAACTTGGGGTGTGCCGGGCATGATTACGACAGAGATATAGGGTGTTCAAAATCGAGATATATCGAATAGAACCCCAAGTTTGATATATCGATGAAATCATCCCATTAGGAAGAAT